GGGTCTGTCTTGCCTGGGAATGGAAAATTTGTTTATACATTTTTAATTATTATTTTTTCCCCAATTTTAACACCTTTGTATTTAAAACTATTATGCCTGGATATGTGAGTATTGTGTTTTCATATTACATTTATGCCATAGGATTATATTTATGCCATAGAATATATAGTTCCTATACAAAGAAGGGGATGAGTGACTGTTGGACTCCCTAGTTGCTTATCTTAAAATACTCACCTATTTATACAAGAATATTAAAATGTTAATGTAGCAATGAATGTTATACACCTAAGTTAGGAGACAGTCTCACTCTCTTACTGATTGCTTATGTTTGTTTTTTTTCTTAGTGTTTTTTATATTAAGACCTTTTATATTATGAAATATAATATACATATAGAAAAGTATACAAAACACAAATGTACAGCTTAATGAAATTTCATGTAAGCAACACCAAGGAAGAAATAGCATCTTAGATACCTCTAGCATGCCTCTTTCTGATTCACAAACTTCTTCCTCCCACCAAAGATAACCACTATCCAAACTTATGTGATTTTGCTTCCTTGCTTTTCTTTATACTTTTGTTACTTAGATTTGTATCTCTAAACAGTAGGATTTGGTTTTGCCTGTTTTTTTAAAATAATGTTTATTTGATTACATGACAAGTTTTAGTTTTCTTTTATATAAAGAGGCTTTTTGGAAATAATTTTTCAACTTTCTTCCCAGTATAGTTACTTGTTTATATTTGTACTTGGGAACTTGAAGCAAAATAAACATTAGTCCTGATAGATTCTCTCCCACCCCTACTCCCCAACTTTTATTACTATGAATACTTGCCCAAAATAGCTTCCTTGGTAGCCACACTATAGAAACTATATATTGTAAGCAAATATTTTGGTACTTGTTAGCTTTTGTATAAAGGTTATGTTAATGTTCATGTAACTTAAGGGCAAAACAATTACCTGATACTAAGTGAGTCAGTGTTTCTTTTAATGTATTCATACACATACATGCATCTATCAGTGCTGAATTAACGCCTTACTCTGGGGATTTAAAATGTGATTGTTATGTTATACACAAGTACCCCTTCATCATAAAATGGTGCCTATTATTTGACAATAATTATGTATACAATTTGGCAAAATAACTTTTTGAATGGTAAAAACATTTAAAAAAATCTCATTTAAAAAATGTGAATTGGTGTTCTCAAAGTATTTTATGCAAGCAGGCCTTTAAATTATGATACATGTTAAAACCCACTCTAATGGTGGTAGTAATATAATCTATGGTGAGGAATAATAGATACATGAATGAGAAAGGACAGTATTCAAAAAGTGAAATATATATGTGGTATGTAATTGATATATTTAAGAAATTTATTGTTTAGGAAAGGTAGTATTAGATAGGCAAGTAAGAAGTAGGCGAGCATAATAGTATTTTGGCAAGTTCCCTGAAATGCATATGCATAATAGTAATTAGAAGCATACTGAGTTTTAAATGTCAGCCTACTTTTATTCATTTCTTTTTCTAGCATCTACTTGTATGAACAGTGACTATTCTTCTAAGAGGGGTTTATCAAGGTTTTTGTGAATATTATATAGGAAATAAATTACCTCTGTTACATTTAACTAACATTAAATTTATGATACTAGCAATGATTTGTGAAAGATTTAAAGTTTTGTTGGTTGAATTAATTGATCAGTTGATGCTAAGGAATTCTCCCATTTTTACAGTTGAGACTTGGGACAATTTCTATGCTTTCTACTCGCATCCAGTGACAAAAATGTTTTTTTTTTTTTTTTTTTTGTCATGTTTATAATCTTCAGCAGCATGCTAAAATGAATTACTAGAAGTATCACTTATATTCTAAACTTAAATGGTTTTTTTTTTTGCTAAATTGGTTTAATTCAAATTGTGCTTATCAGCTATTAACATTCTTTTAGTGGCCGTTAATGCTTTGTAGGCCTTTAAAGAATGGGAACATAGGTTGTTCCCAGGAGACTGAAAATCAACATTATTTCATAAAGTCTAAGGTGCTTTGCGAGTGTGTTTTCTTAGTCTTAGTCTTAGTAAACTGAGTCAGTTGGAAGTAATCATATAGCCACCTTACAACATCAACTGGTGATAATGATTATAAGGTACCATTGAGTATTGTGCATTATAATTTCAGAGAAGTTTAAATATGAATAAATGCATACCTTGGAATTGTTGAAGTAGGGTTTTGAAGTCATTAACTAACTTTAAAAGGACAGCTATGATAATGTGTTCAAATTTTCTATGATTAGACATGGTACACTGAGAATTTTCCATTTGTTTTTTTTGAGTTTGCAGTTATTTTCTTTTTCACTTTAGATATTATTCATTGTTCCATTTTCAGATTGATGTAATAGAATTTACATTCAACTGAGATATAATTTTTATCCTATCTAATAAAAGAGTAATATGCAAATTGACTGTCACTCCAACATACAAGATGACTGTCCCCATATGATCAAAGATAGCTGCCCCCATGTGGACACAGATGGCTGCCACAAGATGGCCAGCAAGGGAGGGCAGGTAGGGGTGACCAGGCCGGCAGAGGAGGGAAGTTGGGGGTGACTGGGTCTGCAGGGAAGGGCAGTTGTGGGGAGGAGGACCCAGGCCTGCAAGGGAGAGCAGTTGGGGGGGACAGCCCTGCAGGGGAGAGCAGTTAGGGGTGACCAGGCCTACAGGGAAGGGCAGTTAGGGGCAATCAGGCTGGCAGGGGAGCAGATAGGCATCAATCAGACTGGCAATGGAGTGGTTAGAGATGATCAGGCTGGCAGGCAGAATCAGTTAGGGGCAATTAGGAAGGCAGGCAGACGAGCAGTTAGGAGCCAGTAGTCCTGGATTGTGGGAGGGATACCTGACTGCCCATTTAGGTCCAATCTTACTGGGATCAGGCCTAAACAGGCAGTAGGACATCCCTCGAGGGGTCCCATATTGGAGAGGGTGCAGGCTTGTCTGAGGCACACACCCCCATGCACGAATTTTTTGCACCTCTAGTGTAATATAAAAGGCTATTAACTTTCACTATCTAGATTCAGAGATGTATGTTGGCCTAATTACTTTGGGTAGGGGTATAGGAAATTTTTATTTATTTATTTATTTATTTATTTATTTATTTATTTATTTATTTAGAACAATGTTAAGTCTGATGTTGTGTCCATTTACTCACAGTGTCCATTAGGAAAAGATTTGTGATAATAGGTCAAATAAACACAAGGATATTTAATTATGCTCTTTTTCTATCTTGCACTGTTACACATTCCACAAGCACAGTTCTAATGGCAGTATTTCATCATTCACAATGTTTACATGCAGTTTAGAATGATGGACCTCTTTGCAGTAGGAATAGGAAGGGAGGGATGATGCAGGAAAGGTAACCATTATTTTTTTTCTTAGCTTTATATAGTTTGATTTTTATTTTCATGTGCATTTATTATTTTTATAAGAAATAAGTACATCGCTGAAACCGGTTTGGCTCAGTGGATAGAGTGTCTGTCTGCAGACTGAAAGGTCCCAGGTTCGATTCTGGTCAAGGGCATGTACCTTGGTTGCAGGCACCTCCCCGGTAGTGGGTGTGCAGGAGTCAGCTGGTCGATGATTCTCTCTCATCGACGTTTCTAGCTGTCTATCCCTCTCCCTTCCTTCTGTGGAAAATCAATAAAATATATTTAAAAAAATAAAATATATTAAAAAAAGAAATAAGTACATCTTTAAAATATATATATATTATTGATTTTTTTTACAGAGAGGAAGAGAGGGATAGAGAGTTAGAAACATCAATGAGAGAGAATCATCAATCAGCTGCCTTTTGCACACCCCTTACTGGGGATGTGCCCGCAACCAAGGTATATGCCCTTGACCGGAATTGAACCTGGGACTTTTCAGTCCACAGGCCGACGCTCTACCCACTGAGCCAAACCAGTTTTGGCGAAATAAGTACATCTTATAAAATATTATTTCATATTGCTTATATGGAGATAGGGCATTTGGCATTCTTCATGATCCATTCCAAATTTTCTTTGGATTTTCATCTCCAACTAAATTATCCCTTACTCTAGCCATACTTGTCTACTCTTTGTATTAAGTCTTCTACATTCTCAGAACTTGCCTTAATTTCTCCCTCTGCTTTACCCACCCTTCAAAGCCAATCCCAAATCCCACCTATTTAAATGTTTTCAGCTCCCTCCATAGTAAGTTCCTCTTATTCACTTCTTTGCAATGGCAAATACCTGTATAAATAGTACTTAGTAGAGGCCACTTTTCATTAGGGTTAATTATTTATGTGTCTGGTTTTCTTATTAGATTTTGGGACCTAATTATTTAGGATTGTATTTTATTCTATAGTGCTAAGTATAGACATACAATGAATGTGCTCTGAGTTGAATCCTTATGTATTTTTAAATATATGTTTTACTTTATTTAATGCTTCCCCAGAGACACTATGTAGTAATTTTTCTAGAATTAATAATATATTAGACTGTTTTACATTTGTGTTTTCATTCTCAACATGTATCCACTATTTTCTGAAGTATAAGAATTATTTTTTGCCCTAGCCAGTTTGGCTCAGTGGATAAAGTGTTGGCCCACAGACTGAAGAATTCTGGGTTCAGTTCTGGTCAAGGACACATACCTTCATTGTAGGCTTAATCCCAGGTCCTGGTTGGGGCAAGTGTGGGAGGCAACCAATTGATGTGTCTCTCACATCAATATTTCTCTCTGTCTCTCCCCTCCCTTTCACACACTCTAAAAAATCAATGAAAAAGTGTCCTTGGGTGGGGATTTAAAAAAAAAAAAAAAGAGAGAGAGAGAGAAATGTTTCTTTGCTGCTTATTATCCCATAGTGCAATAATTTTCTAAAAGACAATAATTGCATAGATATTCATTTTTTTACTGTTTTATTTTTAATCTATTATATAATTTTGATGATTATGCAACCTTACATTTAAGAGTATTTAATAATGCATTTTATTTTTTTGTAGGCTGCTTCCTCAGAACGTTGGACTTCTTTATGTTGGAGGTTATGAAAGACCCTTTGCACAAATCAAGGTATGATTGTTCATTTTCCAATATACTTTTCCTAGATGTACTTTACTTGTTTAGAATGCACTAAAAATCTGCAAGTAACCATCAACATATTAAAAATATTGTGTTTGTGAACAATGACTTATATTTGCTTTTGCATATCTCTGCTGAAGAAAGTAATTCAGTTTTGTAAAGAATTATTTAAATATTTTTGCCCGTAGTGGAGTTGATTTTGATGAAAGTACTTCAGCGATTAGTTAAGAAGAGTCAAATTTAGAGCCACTGATTAATCTTTTAGATTACTTCTTTTGCCCTTAAATTTTGATAGTTTTATTGAGGTAATTAACATATAAAAATATACATATATAAAGTGTACAATTTGATAAATTTTGACATGATTACATTTCTGAAATCATCACTCTCAAAGTTTCCCTGTGCCTCTTTAAAATCCTTTTTCCTCTCCTGCCTTTCCTTTTCCCCTTTTAGTCCTCAGATGACCACTGATCCAATTGTGTCATTATAGATTAATGTACATTGTTTAGAATCTATCTCTGTATATAAAAGCCTAAGCAGCTGGCCAGCTTGGCTGGTAGCTATGATGTGTACTGACCACAAGCGGGGAGATGCTCAATGCAGAAGCAGAAACCACAGGCATAGAAACATGGAACAGACTAATGAAGAGATTAACCAAAGGCCAGGTACACGGGTTTACCTCAGTCTGGCCTGCCAGGATCTGGCTGAAATTGGCTCTCTGACGTCCCCTGAGGGGTCCTGGATTACAAGAGGGTGCAGGCCAGGCCAAGGACTCCATTGGTGCATGAATCCATGCACCGGGCCTCTATTCTATACTAATAAAAGGGTAATATGCTAATTAGACCAGACATCTTCCAGATGTCCTTTTGGACAAAGCCATGGTTGGGGGGAGCGGGGGCAAGACATAGGCAGTTAAGGGTGATCAGGCCACAGGCAGAGGCGGTTAGGGGCGATCAGGCAGGCAGGCAGGGTAGCGATTAGGAGCCAGCAGTTCTGGATTGTGAGAGAGATGTCCTCGATTAGAGAGAATGCAGGCTGGGCTGAGGGACCTGCCCCCTCCCATGCATGAATTTTGTGCACCGGCCTCTAGTTTTATATAAGGGAAATTATACAGAATTCTGTGTGCCACCCTTCTTGGCTTATTTCACTCAGCCTACTTATTTTGGGATTCATCCATGTTGTTCCACTTATCAATAGTTCAATCCTTTTTATTGCTGAGTAGTATTTTATTATGTGGTTAATGCACAATCTTTTTATTTTTTCACCTGTTGATGGACACTTGGGTTGTTTCTGCTTTTTGGCTATTTAAAATAAAACTACTGTGAAGATTTGTATACAAGTCTGTGTATGGATATATAGTTTCATTTTCATTGGTAAATACCTAAGATGGGAATGACTGGGTTATGACAGTTGTATGTTTAAGGAGCTAACAACCTGTTTTCCCACCAGCAGAATGTGAGAGTGCTAGTTTCTCCACATCCTCATCAACGTTTGGTCAGTCTTTTTAAATTTAGCCATTCTTGTAGGTATGTGGTGGTATTTGTAGTTTTAATTTGCATCTTCTCATGTGCTTCTTTGCCATCTGCATTTCTCTAGTGAAGTGTATGTTCAAATCTTGCCATTTTAAACTTGCTTTTTTGTTTTCATGCTGTTGAGTTTTGAGCATTCTTTGTATCTTGTAGATGTAAGTCCTTTATCAGGTATGCAATTTACATATATTTATTCCCACCAACACCATACTATCTTAATTAATGTAGCTTTATAATATGTAACACTGTCAGGTAGTATAAATCCTCCAACTTTGTTCTTCCTCAAAGTTGTTTTGGCTATCCTATAGGTTCCTTTAATTTCCATGTGAATTTCAGAATCATCTTGTCAATTTTAATAAAAATGCTGGCTAGAATTTTTATTTGGATCATGTTGATTCTATTAATCAGTTTGAGGAGAAATGACATCTTAACAATATATTGAATGTTTTAATTAATATAGACTATATATTTTTCCATTTACTTAGATCTTTACTGTCTCTCAGCAATATGTGTTGGTTTCAGTGTTTTGGTCTTGCAAATTTTAAAATGAATTTACCTATAAATATTTTATATAAATATTAAAAGTACTTCAGTTTAATATTTGCATTGCTAGTATATAAAGATGATTACATTTTGTGTTTATTTTAAATCCCATAGTTTTATTACACTCTATTAGTTCTAGTAGCTTTTTGTACATTTAATATGATTTTCTTTTTTTTTTTTTTTAATACACACACACATATTATACACAACAATGTGGTTAAACCTCCTCAGTATTAAGTCTCCTGAATATTCAGGTTAAGCCTATTCTGAAAAATTCTCCTTTTTCAAAACATAAGAATATATGTCATAAATGCAGTGGAAAGAAATTTAAACTCACACATCTCACATTCATAGGAGAAAAGCAGATCGATCATGGAGACAAAAATTAAATGTGAAGAAAAATCAGAAAGTTAAACAAAATACAAATTTTATAGGCCACTCAGAAAACATTAACAGAAAGCTATAACAACAAAGAAAAGAGGATGATCTCAAACTTTTTTCTAAATATCTTGGATATTCATAATATCATTTTTCCTTGCAAGAAAGTCTAGATGAAATCTATGATCAACCCTCAACTACATTACTAAAAGAAATTTTTTTTCTGTTAAATGCTTTCCAAAATCAGAAACAAGACAAGAATGTCTATTCTCATCATTTCTATTCTCCTCTGTACTTTGGTTTTAGCCAGTGTAACAATGCAAGGAAAAGTAAAAAAAGGCATCCAGATCAGAAAAAGAAAGAAAGAAAACTATCTTTATTAGATTACATAATCACTTATGTTTATAATCCTTTGGCCCTAGCTGTTTGGCTCAGTGGATAGAGTGTGTGCCTGTGGACTGAAGGGTCCCAGGTTCGATTCCAGTCAAGCACATATGACTGGGTTGCAGCCTCCATCCCCAGTAAGGGGCATGCAAGAAGCAGCCAATCAATGATTCCCTCTCATCACTGATGTTTCTATCTCTCCCTCTCCCATTCTCCCTAAAGTGTGTGTGTGTGTGTGTGTGTGTGTGTATTACACATACACACTATATATATAAATAACATTTTACTTAATTCCTATTTCAAGCTGTCAGAAGTTTTTTGGAAGTCCCTAAGTTTGGAGGGGGTTTGTTTCTGTCTATCTTTGAATAATACCTTTATCTTAAGAGTGTGCGTGTGTGCGTGTGTGTGTGTGTGTGTGTGTGTGTGTGTGTGTGTAATATTATTTATATTATTTATGGTTTATTTTTAAAGATAACTTCAGGTTTAAGCAATAGTTTACATTTTAGATCCGCTTTTCTATGCTGTTTTCAAGAACATTTCACAGTCTAGTAAAAATATTAATGTTATTCTCATAGGTTTCTAGTCCTGAAGGCTTCACTTAGCAGCCAAAATCCATAAAACCAAGAGGGATTGAAGCCTGTCAGCATCACTTTTAATCAACTCAAAGGTTGTTATGAACAGTCTCAAGGCCACAGGGCTGTCCTCCCCACAGGGCTTGGTGTTAGTTGCCTCTTCCAGTTCTGACAGCCAAAGAAGTGTGAGACTGCAAGGCTGAGTCAGACAGTTCCTACTTTGACATTGCAGAACAGCTAAGAAATGTCTTCTGTATTTTAACTATAAATTCTACACGGCTACATATATGAAAAGTAAGGAATATAACCATTATTCTGAGGCAGTTATTTTTTAATCAACATAGTAGTTTTCCCTTATTCACGGGGGATATGTTCTAAGACCCCTAGCAGATGTCTGAAAATATGGATAACACCAAACCCTATATTTATTGCTAGAGGCCCGGTGCACGAAATTTGTGCACTGGATGGGGGGGGGGTATCCTTAGCTCAGCCTGCACCCTCTCACAATCTGGGACTTCTTGGGAGATGTTCACCTGCTGGTTTAGGCCCAATCCTCCTTGGGCCTAAGCCTACACTCAGACATCCCTCTCATACTCTGGGGCTCTTTCAGTCCAGGACCCCCAGGACTCCTCACTCCTTACTACCTGCCTGCCACAGGAGGTGGGAGAGGCTCCCACCACCACTGCTGCACTCACCAATTGTGAGCCCAGCTTTTGACTGAGCAGGAAGGAGGGAAAGCCACTCAACCAGAAGCTGGCTTGCTGATCCTTAGTGTGGTCTTGCCCCCCCATCCACTCGTCATTTAGGAAGGTCATTCTTGCCTTGACCCTCACAGCCCCAGCTTTGTCTGGAAGGTCATCCAGAAGGACATTTGGCTGTTTGGTCTAATTAGCATATTAGCTCTATATTATATAGAATGTTTTTTCCTATACATGTATGCAAATGATAAAATTTAACTTCTAAATCAGATACAGTAAGAGATTAACAATAACTAATCAAAATAGAACAGTTATAATAAACCTATATAATAAAAGCCTAGTATGCTAAGTGTCTGATTGCTCAATTGTCCAGTCATTCGGTCAACCAATCAAAATGTAATGTATGCTAATAAAAGAGAAACATGCAAATTAACCATCACTCTGCTATGCCTACCAGCCAATCAGGAGGGAATATGCAAATTAGATGGAGAAAGATGGTGGCTGCCCAGTTGCTCCATGTGGGGAGTGGCTGGGTTGGGCAGAAGGCCTGCTATGAGACCCAGGACAGGGGAGGGGGTGGGGAGGTGTGTGTGTGTGAAGGAATCTATAGGAGCGGCACTCTGGTAGTGGATACAGAGTGGATATGCTGGACAAGGGATGGATATCGTGTCTTGGGCGGAATAGAGTGGGAAGTTGCAAGATTTCATCATGCTACTCAGAATGGCTTACAATTTAAAACTTATGAGTTTTTTTTTCTGGAATTTTCTATTTAATATTTTTGGACTGGAGGGTAACGAACCATGGGAAAACAAAACTACACATAAGAGAGACTACTGTGCGGTTGAGTTATTCCCTGCCCCAGAGCCTGGTTCTGTCTGCTGAGAGCC